GGCAGCTTATTGCGTTTTATTTGTTGCAACTAGAGATGGGAGCCGCAACTAGCCGCAACTCTATCGCAATTCTCTGATTGGCTGTCGCAAGCCGTAATTAGTTGAGGAGTCATCTTTAGTTGCAACTACTAACAAAAATCATAACTATTAAAATTTAAATAAATAATTAAGTTATCATCTTTAATTTCTATAAAATATTTATCTTTTTAATATTTTTTAATTAAATCTTTTTTATCTATAAGATTAGTGATGATAATTGTAAGTAAAGATAGCTCCTCAACTAATTGCGGCTTGCGGCAGCTAATCAGAGAATTGCGACAGAGTTGTGGCAGCCAATCAGAGAATTGTGACAGAGTTGCGGCTAGTTGCGGCTCCCATCTCTAATTGTAAGATTTGTCAAATATAATTAATAAGAAAGTATATTTATAATAATATTATCTTTATTAGATTTGTATTTAACTTCAAAATTATTAACTTATAAAGTTTCTAATTAGTAAGTCTATCTCTTGAAAAGATTATATTATATCTTAATATATTTCAGAAAAATACAATCTGTAATTACTATAAATTTTTGATCTTCTAAATATGATTTTCAAAGTCTGATAGCATATATAATTATAAGTAATTCTTTTTTATATATTAGATAATTTTATTTAGTTAGTAATAACTTTTTTAATTTAAAGATTATTAGTTGGTCATCTTTGCTCTAATTTTAACTTAGCACAGTTCTAATAGTGAAATTTAAAGAATCTATAGTAACTATAAATAATAATTTTAGATTAGATAATAATAAAACTGATATTGATATAAGATATTACTTGAGTTATTCAAAAACTTATTATACTATTATAAATTATTTATATTCTTAATTCTTATATAAAAATACTATGAATAATAATACTATAGTTAAGAATTCTTTAATAAACTTTCTATAATAACTTATAAGTTCTAGAAAAAAGTGAAGTTCTGATTAGAAATAGTATAGCAAGTATATAATACTTATTTATTATCTGTTATAATATATTATAATATCAAAATTTTATAAGTTGTAATTAGTTACAACTAAATAATACTTATTTATTATCATATTATAATAGTTAAAAAGCTATCTTTTAGTTTTAATATATTAATTAATATTGATTAATCTCTAATTATAGTTATCTTTCTTTGATCAACAAACATACTATTTATTAAAATGAAATATTCAAGATATTTTTCATATTACTAAATTATATTATATTTTTTTCATTTAGTATATAATTTATACTTGCAAAATATTTTTAAGATTATCTAAAGATATTAAATATATTCTTTCTTTATCTTACTATATATCAAAATATTATCTAAGTATATAATTATAAATTTATTTAGATAATTATGAAATATATTATTTATTAATATTATAAAAATGAGTAATATATTGATGAGACCAAAAAATAAAATCAAGAACTTATAATATTTATAATAAGTTCTAAATACTATTTTATATATATCTTCTTTTATAATATAAATTTAATAATATTTTAAATATAAATCTAATTTTAAAAATACTTTAAATCTGTGAGTCTATTTATAAGTTTATTAATTCTGAATAGAGAATAGTAGTTCTTAATAATTATTTTATTTAAAGCTTTATAGTTTATATATAATTTTAATCAGGGTTATCATCAAAACTAGTCCAGTCCACTGGACTTCACATGATTGGACTTAATAGGTTTGGTCCAATAATAGTCCAATCACATGCAAGTAACTTTTATCCAATCAAAAGTAATAGATGTAACAAAAAATTTTTTTGCAAAGATAATGGCATGTCACTATCGATTAACTGCTTATATTGAAGTACTTGATCAAAATGCAAATGAATATAACAAGTATGTAATATTTTTAGCTTGTATTGAGCTAAAAGATCACTCTTATGCTCTTGAAAAACAATTTACAAATACCAAAAAGCGTTGTAAAGATCATTTTAAAAAATATGACTTTTTCAAGCAAAAATATGGAAGAGATGAAGCACAAGCGATTTTAGATGATACAGATAGTGAAATAACAATACAAAAATGTCAAAGAAAGAGAGTTCATAGACAAGATGGTTAGTATAATTATTTTAAATTTAATTTAAATTCAAATTATTTATTAATAATTTAACATTAGATGAATCTACTAAATTATCTTACCAAATATCAAGTGCTAATCAAAGTCAGATTTCAGTATCAAGTAAAATATCTAGCTCAATATTGAATAATAGTTTCTATATGAAGTCAACCTCTTTAGCAATCAATAGACTATTGGACAATTTTGCTTTTCATTAATTTACTGGAAATAATCTTGACTGATTTAATTATCTGCTATTAAAGGCAATAATTTCAAATAGATGAAGCTTCTATTGGATACAAAATCCAGATGCTATTACATTATTTAAATTTATTAATCCTTCATGCAAACTTTCTAAATGATGAAAACTAGGTGATGACATATTATCACGTACTTCTGATCAAATAGTTGCTGATATCAAACTAAAAGTACAAGAAGATTCATATGATATTACTCTTACAATTGATGGTTGAACAAATGTTGTTAATCAATCTATCTTGAGAAGTGTTTTAATTACAAGTTCAGGTGAAGTTTTAGTTTGGCAAGCAACAGATATTAGTGGTGAAAGAGCATGGACTGAAGAAGTCAAAATAA